TGGAAGGATGTCCTTACTTAATTGAGCAGAATTAATACCTGAAATACGAAAGTAGGAAGTCTTTTACCTCACCATTTTAAAGAGTAATTAAAATGGTGTTTTCTTCTAACTGTAATGATATTGAAGCAGATAGAAATATCTGTTGCTTATTAAATTGTGTTTTTACCTTAAAAATTTTAAACTAGGGGATTTGTCTGTTTCTCATTCCCTCTGTTGTCTCAGACATCTAATTAAATTGCCTTTTCTATCCTTTAGCTCAAGTTTGATGCCTCTCCTTGGCCCACTCAGCCCTGATATGCCACCTCTGCTTAGGAGAAAGTCGTTGGGCTGGATGCAGTTGACCATGTCATGGTTCTCGTGCTGTGCGGTGAATAAGACTGGGAGAGGAAGTAGTCGAGGTTGAAGACGCATGTGTAGCCCATGGGGAAGTAGAAAATAAAGAATTAGCTGTCCTGGACCCAGAACAGTGCTGGAAGCTTTGGAGGCAAACCAGATGCTGCTGAATTTCTCCCAGAGAGACTGTGATGTCCAGCCACTAGGTGCTTAAGGCCCCAGGGTAGAGCGCCGTCTGCATAACCACTTGATTTCCGGCTCTTCAGTGTCGGAAGACACTGTTTTCAGGGTTTGGTGTTTTTTTTTTTTTTTTCTCTCTCTCTTTTTGGTTTCCTGTTTTAATGTTTAAATTACTTCAGCTTTGAAATGTAGAGAATAGAAAAAAAAAACTAAGACTTTTACCACACAAGGCAGTGCCTTCTTGTAGTTCTACTCAGTGGTCTTGTGTGCAACATGTAGCTGGAGGGATCACAGATTAGATTATAATGTTAGATCTTTTGCACTATTGGTTTTAGGAGATCCCAGTGCAGTTCCTCAAGCACATCTTCTGATCGTGTGGGTTGGGGTCTCAGCATGCATTAATGTTGGTGGTTGGGAAGATGTATGAAATACAGTTCACATGTTTTCCAGTACAACAGAAACGCATTGTACTGTACAGGTAGACACATTGTAGCTACCACCCAAGTGGTTCAATGCAAAAGGATTAAAAAGGAATTTCAGTTTTTGTGTCTCTTGACAGGCATGACAGGATCAAATCCGTAGTTCCTGGCAGCACTTTTCTTTCAACTGCCTCTCACAACCCATGCTTCCGGAGATTCTGCTTTTCCAGGACTTGCTTCCATCCACACTCCCTTTTGTTTCTTTCCTTGTGTGCAGTGACTGAATCTGTGGAGAGGAACTTCCCTCTTCCTACAGCACCAAATTCCAATCACCAAGCACCAGAACCCATCCAGCAGTGCCCACTTCCAGCAGCAGGGGATTGGAAATTGGGCAAGCTCAGAACTCTCACTGCCTGGCAGGCAGCGGGACCCTCTGAACCTTCCAGTGTCCAAATGTTGCCCTATCTCAACTGTATCTGGAAAAATGAGATTCTACTCAGGAGGCCATCAGAACTGTACTCATGATGCTGTTTTGCAAGGTGTCTTGTTATGGTATTTTTTTTGTCTTTTTAAGTTATCATCCAGACTCTGGAAGTAGAAAAAGTTTAAAAAAATTTTTTGTAAATCTTAATTCTGGTTGCTGTAGCAATGTCAGTTTTTAAGATTTACTCAGCCATGTGGCAAAACAGGCAGCTTCTAGCACTGCATCCATCCTGTCTTTGAATTCTAGCTCTGCCGCTTACTCGTCAATTGGTCAACTAGTTAATCTTTCTCTCCCTAACATTTTTCTCATCTGCAAAATAAAAGTGATTAGATTAATAACAATAAAAATGATAATTCGTGTTTATGGGATATTATGTGTGGAAGACATTGTGCTAAGCACTTTTCTGACAGCTCTGTGCCTCCAGCCTTGGATAGACACAGCCATGGTAACAAGAGCAAACATGCATTGAGCGCTCACTGTGTACAGCTCCGCTATGTACTGTCTTCCTTCCTGGATTTAGAGCCTGAGGCTGACGGAAGTGAAGCTGTTTGTCCCACATCACAAGCTGCTGAGTGGAGGACCAGCTTGGGAGCTGTGCTGTCAGACTACAGGGCCACCTTTCTGTTGGTAGCACAGCATTGCTCACAGGAGTGAATGAGAAAATTCCTGTGAAGTGCTTAGCACAGGGGCTGGCATGTAGCCAAGTTCTAGCTGTCTTAGTGAGTAGTGAAGCCATACTTTTTCCTATTGAGACATTGCTCTTCCTTTCCTTGACTTAGAAGCCCCACTCCTGGTAACATTATCAGTGAACAGCTCATAGAGATCCCCATACATGGCCACATTGCCATGGCCAGCTCGCACATGAATGCATGGATCCTGCAAAGTCCCCTCCTGCCTCCAGATGCCCCCATGATTATACTCCCTGGCCCTTCTTGACTGGAGTTATTTGTACAAAAAATGTAGGCACACAAGATAAGGAATCCTAGGAGCCTGTCAGCAGAATGGGTTAAAAAAAAAAAAGATCTGTATAAACATTGGGGTTTTATTCAGCCAAAAGAAGAATGAAACCGTGTCACTTGCAGAAAAATGGATGGAAATGGAGGTGATTGTGTTAAGTGAAATTAGGTGCAGAAAGAAAAGTATCACATGGTGGTGGGGGAAGTAGAAGGGGAGAGGGCACCGAGGGCATGAGGGAGGGTGGATATGACCACAGCACCATACAGTCAGGTACAGAAATACCACAGTGAAATTCACTCACTTGTACAATTAATATGATTGAATACTTATGTTTAAAAGGTAGGCGTGCTGTGTGGAGGGAAGGCAGCAGTACAGGCTTGTGTTCCATCTGTTCAGTCCGTCATATCGGTATTTCTTGGGTTTAGTTGGGGCTTAATTTTAAGGATAATGTTAGTAGGCTAGAAGAGAGTGCGAGCAGTGAGAACCATGGTTGCTGCAGGAGAGATGCCCTGAGAGGCTGGGTGGGACCTTAAATGAATGCAACAGGTCAGAGGGAGTATGTGACAAATGAGGGTGCGTGCCCATGGAGGGGGCAGCAGCCAGTGCCCAATGCCGTGGCTGCAAGCTCTGCACATACCAACACAAAGGAACACCATTCTGGCAATGATGGATGCTCTGAAGGGTCCACAAGTAAGAAGAAACACAAATGGTCCAGGCGTACAGAACCTCGGTCTGGCAAACAATACAGAAATGCAGCCTAAAGTGAGGAATCCTAGCTGGTGTTGGGGCTTAGGGAAACAGGTGCTTTTGTACGTGTGGTGGGAGTGTTCTTAATCTGTTGAATCGATTTGGAAGACAACATCCACCCAAACTGACAGTGCGTTCACCCTTTGACCAGCATTTCCTCCTCATGAACTTATCCTTAAAAAACAAGCTGCCATGACTCCTCAAGGGGTGTTTTAAAAAAGAAAGTTTACCACAGCCTTGTTTGTAAAAGAGAAGTGAGAAATAATCCAAATGTTTGTCAATAAAGCAATGCTTATGTACAGGACAGTCTAGCTAGACCGAAGGGTTACACATTCATTACCAAGAATAATGTCCATTAAAATGTACCGATAGAAAAACTACTTATCTTTTGTGAAGAGAGAAAAGCTATAAAATCATGTAATGCTCTATATTTTTAAGAAGTGCTTACAGCTACAATAAAAATTATGTACTAAGTAGATACAGTTCTAGTTCTGTGAATTTAAGGATTTGCTAAAGATATTTCTGTGTGTGAGAATTTTCAGTTGAGAAAAATCATCCTGAGTTAATAAAAATGTAAACTATAGATGTAAAGGCAGTAGAGCTTACATTTCTAAATTGTTTTACTAAATTTCTAGTTGATAGTAAATGGTGATTTAAATAACTAATTAACTTTTAAATAGATAAGCACTTTTTAAAGAAGTGTTCTAGGTAACTATATTATATATGTAAGTATTTAATTTTCTAGTAATATTTTTATTTGTTGATAAACTCTTTCTTTATTGAGAGTGTAGATGTACATTAAATACCCTGATGATAAAAATGCTAAAACTGTAGATTCCATATCAATGAGAATTTTACTGTAGTTGGTCACTGGAATTTTACTAACTTATCTGCTGTGAAGGAAATTATTTCGCAATAAGCCTTTATTCACGTCTTCTTCCTCATTTGTACTTCAGTGTTTGCTCAAAGAGGATATATTTGGGATATTCTAAACGTAGCACAACTTGGCATGCACTCCATTTGAACCCCTAGACCTGTTAGTTTTCTCTCTTCTCAAATCAGGAATCACTGTGTACATCATAAGTAGCGTATCTAGATCCATCTTATGTGTCATCATTTATGCGGTCTACTTTCTGGAAATGTAGGCTCTTGCTGGGCTCTTGCTGTTTTGACTCACTTGTCCTATGTTACTAAGCAATGCCAGATATTATGGCCCATAATGACTCAAAAGTATAACACTCGGCAGAAGTGGATCCTGGAAGCCACCTGGTTTGATTGCCTAGAGGCTGTTCATGGGCTCAGCAGGTACTCGGCTCCAACCTACTGCGTGCCCGGCACTGTGCTGGTACTTAAAAATCTTTGTTTTGCCTTTCTCCAGAGTCAGTATTTTCACCCTTATTTTCAAATTGCCCCAGTTACACAACTAGGTAAAGTCTAGATTCTGAAGCCCACACTCTTATGCACATCATCCTTATTTAATTTTGTGGGACAAAGATGTTCTCATAGCCAGATGCTGGTGGCTCATGCCTCTAATCCTAGCTACTCAGGAGGCAGAGATCAGGAGGATCGCGGTTCAAAGCCAGCCTGGGCAAATAGTTTGTGAGACCCTATCTCGAAAAAACCCATCACATACAAAAAAAGACTGGTGGAATGGTTCAAAGTGTAGGCCTTGAGGTCAAGCCCCAGTACTGCACACACACACTGATTATGAGATAACCAGGTATTTCTTGGTTAGATCAAATTTTTGAATACCTTAAAATGTCTGTAAATCAATGATAGATACTTTTCAGGCAAAATTATTATATGCATTTATGTGTATATACATTGTGGTTAGGCAGGCTTATATAATTGTGACATGCTTTTCTGTTTGTTTTTCATAGGCAGTGACCAAGTTCACTCTTGGACACTAGTTACAGGCCAAGCTCTTGATACTGCCTGGAGAATAGCAAAGGGCTCTGTGATGCTGGGAGTTTCACTTCTGATGGCCACCCTCTGCTACTTCAGAAGGCTGCATTTATATTTAGGGCATTGGTGGAAATGGTAGGTCATTGTATTATCTTTAAGTTTCAAGTATATCCTTGGGATTCCAAGCAGAATTTTGAAATTATTGTTCCCTTTGTCTTTCAGGTGGATTGGATATCTGCAGAGAAAATTCAAAAGTAAACATTTTATGCATATGTTTTCTTATTTTTAAAGTGTGGAGAAAGTTCACAAAGGGAGAAGAAAGGGAAAACTAACTGCCTTTAATTTTTTATCTCATCCAGGAAACCTCAGCGTGGAGGCGGAAGTTGATTTACTCAGTTATTGTGCAAGAGAATGGAAAGGAGAAACACCCCGTGCCAAACTGATGAGGAAGGTGTGTCTGTTTTATAGAGGCCATAGAAGATATAGACTGTGTCTGACAAATTCAGGAAACACTCTGTTCTGCTTTACTAAATCCAGAAATGAGCCAATACCTGATAGGATGCAAGTGACAATTCAGAAGCCAAGCAGTTGCTAGACTTTGGCTCTTGGCCTTTGACCTAGAGTTTGTGCCTTTGAGGACTTAGGTCAGTTAGATCAGTATTTCAGAAAATGTGAGCATTGTGCTGTTTTCAAGTTTCTCCTGGTCTGTTAAAACATCTGTGTGTGCAGTGGAGGCTTCCTTGAAACATCTGCATGTCAGGACCCTGATATAAATATTTTGAGAAGTTGTAGAATTTTCATTGGACTAATCTTGGTAAATGTTCCCAACAGTATTACCCAATTTTGTCACTAGCAAAAACTGAGATGGGAAGGAAGGGTACATTTAAAGTACTCTTTGGTGTGGTTTGAAAAGTATACAGTATTTTTCATTAGGTCATATCCATTATCAGCCCAAAATAACTTGCCCTGGCCTTCAAGATTTGTCATCTAAAACAGCACTCTATGCACAAGTCACCATAAATTTACACGCACGCATTAGGCATAACTTATCACTGTTTCTTTTGTCCACTTTATTTGGCAGTAATGCCTCATTGAGAAAACTTTCAGTGTGTTCACTGCATTGATTTTCTTTAGTCTTTCCAATAGAATTAATTACATCAATTATATCATCCTATCATCCAGCAGAATTAGTTAAAACTTTTTCTCTGTACTAATAGGCTTATGAGGAGCTGTTTTGGCGTCACCATATTAAATGTGTTCGACAAGTGAAGAGAGATAACTATGATGCTCTGAGATCGGTGTTATTTCAGATATTCAGCCAGGGCCTCTCTTTTCCATCCTGGATGAGAGAAAAAGACATTGTTAAGGTATGTCTTCACATGGACCACAGGGAGTGTTGTGAGAATGATTACGTGCAATTCAGAATCTCTTGATCCTCTCCAGGTGTGCTTTTCATGTGCTCACTTTCGGTCCATAGTATCTTCTTAGAAAAGTGTCTCAATCTTTTGTCCATTTTTTGTCTTGTTGTTTGTTTTCTTATTGTTGAATTGTGAGAGTTCTTTATGTATTCTAAGTACAAGTGCTTTATCAGTTACGTCATAAATAGCTATTTTCTCCCAGTCTGTGGCTTGTTTTACCATCTTCTCAACGGTTTAAGGCAGTACATTCTTGATGAACAACCTGAATTTTTATTTTGAATGCAGCATGCCTAATTTAGGATAGAGAAGCAAGAAATATATGGCATATTCATATATAGGTGCACGTGTTCTTATCTCTTAATGTCTTTAAACTTCTTTTTATTGGTTTGTTTTATCTAGCAAATACTTTTCAAGCATAAAGAGTGAGTTAGTTCTGCTGCTGGTTGCTGAGGACAAAGACTGTAACAAAGCCTTGGGGTCAGCAAGCTGAGCTGCATGGAAGATGTGATGGATTAGATTCTCATAGACACCATAATCTAATCCTCACATACCCCCAAATTTAATCCTAACGAGAGCCCTGTAAATTGAACAGTCTTATCTTTAATTTATGGTGGAGGCAATCCATTCTGGTCAAATCAACTCATAACTGATGCATGACAGCTAGGTTTGAAGTGCATAGTGCATCATTGCTGATGTGCTCTACTTCCCTAACACATTTGGCTAAAAATAGTTTCCAAAGGAGCAATACATCAAGGAAATGAGGTGTTTCATCCAAAGACTATTTATGGACATAACCTTTTATTTCAGGTTTTATCATATATGAAATGAAGTAAGAATGTCGCCTAAAAATCACTCAATCCACAAATCTAAAAAAAGATGACTATATGTTCCTTTTTAAGACACGGTCTTGATGCATAGCTCAGGCTGGTCCTGAATTTCAGATCATCCTGCATCAACCTCCCAGGGCTGGGATTATAGGTATGCTCCATAGCACCCAGCAACTAAATGCTTTTAGTTAATGGTCTTTTTAAGATTACTGAATGAAAACGGTGTGCTATAACATATTCCAAATCGAATGTAATGAATATTGAGATACTAATCATGTTTTGACATCTACTTCCTTTCCAAGCTTCCTGAAAAACTTCTGTTTTCCCAAGGCTGTAATTGGATCCAGCAGTACAGTTTTGGTCCTGAGAAATATACTGGTTCAAATGTGTTTGGAAAATTACGTAAATGCGTGGAATTATTGAAAACACAGGTGAGCGTTTAGGGGAAAAAAAGACAAGGAATCAGAGCATACATCCTAAACATAGCTAGTTTTCTGTAGTGTCAGGCCTCTCATTGCATTAGTCAAGTGAGAAATGCAAGCAAAAATCTTCCTTCTAAGAGCTAATGGTTTCCTTTCCTTGTTCTTCTTTCTATTGTCAATGTCTACATGATAATTAGGCCTGTTGTAGGGTAAGAGACTTTATGGGCTGGCCTGGAAACCTGACCAACCATGTACCTTTGCTTCTCTAGAAAATGTGGTGCAAGGTACAGACAAGGTGCTCTGAAATGCCCTTCTGGAATGTGTCCTGTTAGTAAGTTGGGAATGGCACAGTTGTCGTAATTTGATTACAAGTTCTTCCTGCCTTTTGATAATGATCCAAATTTCAGATGATTGGAATGAATCCTGAGCTTACCATTTACTAGCTGGCTTACCTTGGGGAATGCCTTAACTTTTCTGAACTACATACCTGTGTAGTTATCGTGAGGATTCAGTTAATTAATACACATAGTGTGCTTTGAACTGTGCCTTGCTACATGGTGAATGTTAAAGAGTGCTAGCTGCACTGTTCTTGCTAGAATATCTTTTGGATAACCCAACTAGTCTAAGCAGCTGTAGAGAACTGACTTGCTTAATATTTTACTTAGTAGGTGGTGATTTTTATTTTATCTAAACTAGTTTGTAATTATAAAAATAACATGTATATATGTCTTACAGCTCAGGATGCTAACAAAATACCGTAAACTGGGTGGCTTAAAGAATAAACATTTATTTCTCAAAGTTCTGGAGGTTGGAGGTCTGGGGTCAGGATACCAGCAGGGGGTGGAGTTGGTCAGCAGGACCCTGTCTCTGATTTACAGCTAGATGTACTCTTGCTATGTCCTCACATGCGTAAGGAGAGCTAGCAACCTCTATGTCCTCTCTAAAAATCAGTAACATGCTTTTGTTCTGAAATAGTGGTAAGCCTAGTATGATAATTATTATTTCCTCAAAAATCACTGAATTCTAGTATCATCTATCCTTTTTCTTATTGGTTCTCTTTCTTCACTAACATATTTTTAGTGTTGGGCTGTTAATGTTGCCACAACAGAGTGGGTCGTTGTTCATCTTAGGTGATTTTGTGAGGCATAAAGAAGGCAAGAAGACACTTGGGGCCACATAGAGAGTGATACTGTGGAGTCCAGAGTCATGTCTCTATTGTTGTCACCAGTGTCATGGAGAACCCTTCAAATTTACATTTCCCATCATTTTGCTAAGTCTTTGACCCACAGATGTGATGTTAGTCTGGTCTCTTCTTGTAGGGGCACCAATCCTATTCATGAGGACTCCACTCACAGAACTAAGGCCTCACCTCCTAATGCCATCACCCTGGATGAGACATTCAATATATGAATCTGGAGGAGGGAAATAAATATTCAGTCCATTTTAATATATACTTAATGGTTAAAAATATCAAACAGTGCCAAAGGTAGAAAATGGAATATTAAAGTTCTACCCTTGTCTATTAATCTTTGGTTTATTTTACCATTTCTTTAAAAGTTACACAGTGGTGTATGTAATCACCTTTACCCATCTGAATTTCACTTTTCCACTTCTATTTCTAGTGGACTGAATTCAGTGGAATCAGGGATCATCACAGGAGGGGAAGTATGTGTAACACCATCTTTTGTGATGCCATTCTGGAGTATAAACTCTACGAAGCTTTAAAGTTCATCATGCTCTACCAAGTCACTGAGGTTTATGAACAAATGAAGACTAACAAGATCATTCCCAGTCTCTTTAGACTCTTGTTTTCCAGGGAGACGTCAGCAGATCCTTTGAGCTTCATGATGAATCACCTGAATTCCATAGGCGACACATGTGGATTAGAGCAGGTAAGTGGGGGAGAAGAATGGCGTCATTTGACCCAGGATGATGAGCTGGCCAGCACTTAAACACGTGGGTCCTTGGGGTTTACTTTGAGCAGTAAAAAAACTAACTGCACAGAAGTGGCTGGTATATGTTATTGGTCCCAAATGAGGAAAGAAAGACTGGCAAGCCTGCTGTGTGCTGGTTACGCTGGGGGGTCTACAGACCCATGGCCTGAGGGCCAAGGAAACCTAGTGGCCTCTCAGACTGACAACAGGTTCTCCCACACAGAGGTTAACCAGGGGAAAGTCCAGTGGAAAGAGAGATAACTTCAACACAGCATTTGGTTATGTATTGCACATAAATAGAAATTATTAAAAAATGTAAATCCCCTGTGGAAAAAGGGCTTCTCTTTTGTTCTGCTTTTCTGGAGGAATGAACATAATTAACTGACATTTTCACACAAACTGATTTAAAATGATATTAGACTAGTTGGTAAACAAAGTAATTTTTAATTATGAGCATTCATTTCTTTTTCATTAGTCTTTTTTTACTCAAACAGCTTTTTCCTATAATTACTTCCCATTAGTCTAGAGAGCTGTTCCTGTACTTATCCACTTTCTTCAACATGATGGAAGTTTGTCCCTAAGTCTGTCCCCAGTTGGGTTTTTGGGTGGGTCTGTAAATAAGTGGATCATCTCCTAAACTCTGAAGAACACTCCCACTGTGGTGGGAGGCAGGAACTTAAAAATGTGTATTTGTGACCTCTCTTCCATCTCATCCCCAGATTGATATGTTTATACTTGGATATTCCCTTGAAGTAAAGATAAAAGTGTTCCGACTGTTCAAGTTTAACTCAAGAGACTTTACAGTCTGCTACCCAGAGGAACCCCTCAGGGAGTGGCCGGAGATCTCCCTGCTGACTGAGAATGACCGGCACTACCACATCCCCATCTTTTAACTCTGCAGTGGCCTGGGCTCCAGCTGTCACAGTGGCCATTGTCACACTTGCAAGTAAAATGTTTCTCAAAAACCAAAGCCAGTGTTTCAACTGTGGAAGGAATTAGGACCTTTTTCTCTGAAATTGAGAGTAACGTGATGGAGAGGTGCTTGAATGGTTTTTCTTTTCAGAGATCTTCTCTAAGACAGCCACACTGATGTATTTGGGGTCGGTGGTTTGACCTTGTTCATAAGCGCTCTGGTTATGTCACATAATGGCAGACTTTCCGTGGACAATAACAGGAAAACGCTAGAAGAAAATGAGGAGGGAGAATGGCTAACCTGGAAAGAAAGAATTTATCTCTGACCTTTGTGCTCTTCAGTAAGAATCTCATCTTGGGCTGATTTTGAATCATCGTAAATACGACGATATTTTTAAGCATTACTGTCCTGGGAATCTTTGTTGTATATTAATATTCTTGAACCATGTGATTTAAATAATGTGTGTGTTTATGTACATGTATGTTTACATATACACACAAATGTATACATTTATATATGCACAGACACACACATACAAATAGCCACTACTTTATAATACTGTACAGTTTGTTTTATATCTCTCCATGTTTTGTTACTGTTGAATCTGAGGAGCTTCATAGGTTTTATTTAGATAAAAAGGATAAATTCTATAGATTAAGGCAACTGAATGATAATTTTTGATCTGCCACAAAAATATTAAACTGCAGTATAGTTCATGTGTATTTACATGTGTGTTCATTGAGTGGAATCTCGTTGTGGTAGGACAAGTAAACCTCCCAGACACAAAGATGCTTTCATCCTATCCCAGAACTGTGACTATGTTGTGCTAAATGGCAAAAAAGGATGAAGTTTGCAGGTAGAGCTAAGGTACCAACTTGCTGATTGAAGGAGGGAGTAGTTTGGATTCTCCAGGTGACACAATATGATGAAAGGGTCCTTAACAGAAGAAGAGGAAATCAAAAGTGTATCAAGGTCAGAGGAGAAAGTGAAATTCAGAACAGTCAGAGAGATGCACCAATGCTACCTTTGAAGATCTAGGGGGGCCGTGAACAGGAGTGCCAGAGGTGTCTGGAGCTGGAAGACGCTAGGAAACAATCTCTCCCCAAGCTGCCAGAATGAGCACAGCCCTGCCCACATCTCAAACTCAGCTCACTGACGTGGGTCAGACCTCTAACCTACAGAACTGTAGGATAACAGGTTCAAGTTTTAAACTAGTGTTTGAAGTAGTAGGCTACAGGAGTAACAAAAAATGGTATTCTCAGGCTAACTAAATTTTAGTTATCTTTATTTCTAAGTACTTTTCTAGTTCATTTGGGTAATCTCAATTTTGGGAGGACTTTGCTTATCTATTTTAAATTTCATAAATAAAAATAAATTTTAAAAGATTGCTAATAACATACCACTTAAGGGCCCACATACATTTCTAACAAGTAAGTGACTTATTTGGCAAGGTGCTTAGTGCTAAACACATGTTCATATTATTTCTTCAATAAATAAAAAAGTGTTAAATGCTGTGGTGTATGAAATCAATACATTCTTTTGCAGTGGAGATGATCAGCTGTATGTATATACAATATAAGCCCACTAACATTTTGTTTTCTGGTTGAAAATTAATGAACTCACATCACAAAGCTTTGCATTACCTTGACAGCCACTCAGAACAAGAGTTCTGACTCTACCTCTGCAGCCCCTTCCTGTGTGGACATGCCTATGGCTTTGTATAATCCTGCCATACAATTGACACTGTCAAAAGTCATCCATTGCTGTGTTACTGTGACAAAGAAAGCATGCAGTTTACCTTTTCTGTTCACAAGACATAGTGACAACCTGGTTCAGGTTGTCACTGGTATTTACATAACTGCTGCTCTGAACTTTGGCTCCAGTTGAACTGTCCAGGTACCTACCTGGCATTTGTATATTACCACTCACCTTGGATTTCCTTACCCAATGTAAGGATTACCCACAGCAATCCAGGATTGGAAAGAAAGCTTTTCACTGGGATTGACAGCAATCCATCCAGTGTGTTTATCCTAACTGTTGGGGTGTGGTGACATGGGACCAGAATTCTGCAGACAGAGGCCCAAGACCAAATTGTGAAAAATGAACATTTTAATATGTTGAAGATAAGAAAATAACATACTTAAATAGTGACTATGCTTTCAGAAGGCATTCAAACAAGGTTTTTAGGGAGGAGGTATTTTTTATATTTATTTGGTTTTATTTAGTTGTATATAACAAACTAGCCAGAAGTAACTGTATACAAATTAACAGCACTTTTAAATACCAACAATAAACAAGGTGAACTGCCTGTGTGATGCCAGCATCATGCTTTAAATTATGAGAGAACTATGGCAAAAATGGAACCATAGTGCCTTTGTCTTTTTCTGATTTTAGGATGTTTTAAAAATTTCTGGCCAATGTGTCTGTACCAAAAGGAAGTATGAATATTAGTATAAGACTTAACTTTATTGTAGTGAAATATGCCTAACAAAATTTGCCATTTTAAAGTGTACAGTTCAAGGGCCAGGTACAGTGGTAGCTCATTCCTACAATCCCAGCTACTCAGGAAACAGGTTAGGAGGATGTGACTTGAGGCCAGCTAGGCAAAAAGCTAATGATACCCCATCCCAATCTATAAGCCAGGCCTGGTGGTACACACTGTGATCCCAGCTATATAAGGAGGTGTAAGTAGGAAGATTACAGTCCAAGGCCAGCCCTGGGCAAATATGAGAGACCCTATCTGAAAAATATAACTAAAGCAAAAAAGGACTGGGAATGTGGCTTAAGTGATAAGAGTGTCTGCCCAGTGAGCGTGAGGACTTGAGTTTGAACCCCAAATACTACCAAAAATATAAAAAATAAGGTGTACAGTTCATCTTCAGGATTACTTTTTTCCATAGAAGGCAAGTTTAATTCCTCACTTAGGACCTAAATTTCTTTTACTTTTCACTTTTTTGGGGGGTGGGGGTACTGGAGTTTGAACTCAGGGTTTTGGACTTACTAAGCAGGCATTCTACCACTCGATCCACACCTGTAGCCTTAGCACATCCTCTACACTGAGTCCAGTATAAGGGAGGTTTAGGTGACTGTGTGGGTCAGGAAAACCCACTTATTTCATCTCCAAAGTAAAGCAGTAACGATGGTGGCATCTGGGTTCAACTTCGAAATAGTGTCATTTGGAGGTTTCCTAGGATACTATTGACTCAGAGTCACTGTGGTGATCACGTGGCACTTCGTGGTCTTGAACCATGAATTTGACCTGGGGGCATGTCCATTCCAGGTAGAGTTGGGTGAAAGTCCCAGGGCCTTCTCTAAGGAATGGGAGATCCTAGACTGAGGTGGTGAAGGATGGGCCCAGCCTGCAGGGGAGAAGAGCAGCTCAGGTCAGGGGCATTTACACTCATTTTCCCAGGACTTTCCTGCTAGTGGAGTTTGGATGGAGATGTTTGTTATTATTCTCAGTCACATGGCTTTCTCCTGTTTTAGCAGACCAAAGAGAGACAACTTAAACTGTCCCAGATGGTCTTGGAAGAAAAAATTCTAACTTTTGTGAATACTCTGAAGGTGTTGGAAATTCCACATCAAAGAAGGAAAATATGTTTATCAAAGAAGGTAAATACGTTTTGCAAAGACGGTAAATATATCGCTAACCCAGTATGTAAAAATCTATACACATGAATGAAAGGATGACTACTTGTGGAATTAGTAACAGTTTTTGCTTGAATAGCAAGTTCTGAAAGCTGATAATTCATTTTATATGAGCATATTGTATATTGTTTAACACAACCAGTTACTGGGTAAAATTTATACATAAAAAGGTAATATGTGTTTTATGGACCTAAAACTTTGTCTATATGTTGCTTGTCATAGTTAATTGCCTTATAAGTATTATTGGTTATATTTAGGTATACTTCATAGCTACTCACTTTGTTTTTTAAATTTTATTTTAATTGATTAATTTTAATTGACAAATAATGGAACTATTAACTTTCCTTCAAATCCTGTTTTTATGACAATGCCTGTTTTACAACTGGGCACAAAAGTAAGTGAGTCCAAATTGTAGAATCACTTCTTAGCCCCAGCTGACATGAAATTTGGGATCCTCCAGCCACAGTCTTCCAAATGCTGGGATTATAGGTATGTGCCACCACGCCTGGCCCCTATTCATACTCCTTTAGGCCAAAATATGAAAGTTTATCTGGATAATATTTGTGTTTAATATCCACATGGTTTGTAAGTGAATGAAAACCCTACACATGTATTCAGCCAACTCTGACTAAAGTGCTCTATAGAATAGCTAGAGGCACACACCCTGAGTCTGCACTTGAAGCTCATGAAATGTGCTGGAGGACACTTATCCTCTGTATGGAAACAGTGGCTCAGGAGCCAGCGTGCATGAGTGCTACCTGAGTAGACTACACGTGGAGTAGTGGAGTTATCCACCTATCTGGTGTCTCTGGGAAAATACCATTCTCTGTTTAAAAAAATCAAATGTGTGTGTCTAATCGTTCTACTCATCTTGCACGGTCATTTAAGCCACGCTGCTGCCACTAGTGTCACTCACTTATTTGTAATGATTCTTGGGAAGATTGGTCAAGAGACTTTCCTTAAATAAAAAAGTGCCAAGTATTTTCAGTCTAGTCTAAGTGGGTTATAAAATTCATTTCTGCACAAGTAGTTTATTTAAAACAGCAAGCTTTGCTACATGGAATTCCCCATTGAAATAGCTAGGTTAGTTATCTTTCCACAGCTTTGCCCAAAATACCTGCCAGAAACAATTTAAGGGAAGGGTAGTTTATTCTGCTCATGATCTCAGAGGGCTTAGTCTATGGTTGCTTGGGCAGAACATTGTAGCAGCAGGAGTGTGTGGCAGAGGTTCTCACCTCATGGCAGACAGGGAGCAGAGAGGAAGAGGAGGTTACCAGGGATCAGACAGAACCTTCAAAGACATGCTCACAGTGACCTTCTTCCTCTAACTAGGCTCTACATCCCAAAGTTACCACCAGAATATCCCAGCATTCAAGACATCCCAGAGACCAAGCATTCAAGATATGAGCATGTGGGAGACATTTTATATTCAAATCATAACAATAAGGTTATTTGTACACAAAATATTTTCTTGTCTCTAATCTGGAAAACTTCAGATGGCACATCTAAGTAGAGGGAGGCACTTAGAACTAAGTACAATAAGCCCTGACCCATGGATTTATACACTTGATTTTGACCAAGCATAGTAAAATAATAATAAAACAAAAGAAATTTCAAAACCAAAGCATTTTAATTATGGCCAGGAGTGGGTGGCTCACGCCTATAATCCTAGCAACTCAGTAGGCAGAGATCAGGAGGATCACAGTTCAAAGCCAGCCTGGGCAAATAGTTCTCAAGACCCTAGCTTGAAAATACCCATCACAGAAAAAAGGTGGGTGGAGTGGCTCAAGGCTAAGTCCCTGAGTTCAAGCCCCACTCCTGAAAAAAAAAATCTTAATTATGCAGTTCAGTTGATGTGCTAAGCTCTCAGTCAGCTCTGCGTGGTCATCAGTTGTGTTCAAATCACTGTGTGAGCTGTTGAGTATTTCCCTGCCTTTAGTTTTGTGAAAATACTATATGCCTTCCAAAAAACAAATGGTGCCCAAAAAACAAGGTAAAAGTGGATATGCTTAATTGAAGTGATAAAGTGAAAATTTTGATTTGTTGAAAGGCAGCCTGTCTTCAGCAGAAGTTGGGTGTCATTATGGGGAAGCATGAATCAAGCATCCCACAGTACAGAACTGAACTCTTCATGCAATTTTTTCTTAATGGCAGACGCTTTGAAACCATAGATCTGCGATACTAAGCATCTACTGAATCAGCATAGCATCTCACAATTCTGTTTCCCTCACTCACAACTCTGAGATGCTGGCATGGGGTACAAGTCTGTGACACAAGAATGCCTTATGGACAGTGTGTGACTTAACTCCATGGCTTTCAATTTGTATTAGAACCAACACAAAAGCCCGGGACTATTGGATCCATTGCTTGTCACCACCGCAATCTGCAAAGACAAAATCTGGGAAATGACTTCAGGACTGTATAGAGTCTCAGCTGTGTCCACTGCTGAGCTTATATAGGGACTTCCCTTGGGTGTCAGCTTTTGTGTGGGTTGAGAGTTTCATGGAAATGACTCCAGGGGGACTGAGAGCAGCCAGTACAAACTGTTTTCCTAGGAGGGCAAAGACCAGAAAAACTGCTCATGTGTCCTGAAAGTTTTAGTATGCTTCCAAAACACATTTATGACTCCCTTAATAAAGAAGAAGCAGAGAGGAGGGAATGGCTGGTGAAAATGGTTTGTTATAAAATATTAATATCACTAGGTAAATAAAAAAGGCAAATATTTACATCTCTCTTATCAGGAGCTACCTTTAGCTATAGTTAAACATGCTGGGTAGGTTAAAAGAAAAAC